CTAAGTTCTGTCTTTTTTGTGTTTCTACTTTATTTTGAGATTTTTTATTTTCCGCATCTGATTCCAAATCCTATAATTAAATATTAATAGAATTATAAATTTAATAGAGAAAATATATAAAATAGAAAGATTAAATAGAATAATGAAATAGACTACACTTTTTAAACGAAAATGAAAATAAATAAATTTGGTGATATGCATATTTCTATTCTAGTATCTATATTTTTTTTACTATAGCATAGCAACATCTTATTTCGATTCAAACGTTTAAACACTGTACTGCATTTAGAATGAGTTCATTCATTTTGCAAATAAGAATAATTACTCAAATTATATTACATTACGTTAATAACAGAATACTTACATTGTTACTTGTATTATCAGGAACATTTTCAAACTCAACTAACTCTTCATATGACATTGAAGCTGTTGGCTCATTTGTTTCAGTTGGCTCCTTTTGTTTTTCTATTTTATTATTTATATTTTCAATAGATGACAATGTGTCTTCACTAAAAGAGTTAGCATACATTTCCTAGAAGAAACAAATATTTAATTATGTACAACTTTTCAATATAAAGAATCAAATATGTATATGTTATTAAAGACACTAAGACTATTAATAAATGTAAGCAAAATGTAAATTATAATTTACTTCAAAGTATAAAACCAACGTTTTGTCCAACATCTATTGTCAAATAGTGATTTAATTAATGTTCTGTGTAACACCGATACTACAATATGTGTGCAATTTATACTACTTTTTGAAAATAAATGAACATATGAAAAATATCTTACCTCAAAGTTCACATTAATAGCATTTCTTTTCCATTGAGTATATTTTTTCCAAAATTTTAATTGAATTCCCAGGACAAAATCCTTCAGTATTTCTTTGGCATCATTTTCATTCAGTTCAAAAAATACATCAACATCTATTCCTTTGTCTAAAATGAAATGTCATGTACAAAAAAGGGAAATACTATTTTTAGCAATGACTTTTAGAACATGTTTACAAATGAATAGTAATTATTCAGTTTAGTCTCCTCAGCTCCGATTTCGATGAAAGTAGGCTCAATCGCCGCGTTTTTGTTAAAGAGACAACTTTTTGATTTGACAAAATTGTCGCTCTCTACTGCGAAGCGAGATATTAATATTATTA